TAGATGAAGAAAATGATAAACATAAAAGTAAAAACAAAGATAAATATAAATACCGATAAAAGTAAAGATGAAGATAGGCGAAGAAAGATTAAAATAAAGGTACATAATTGTAGAGAAAGGGATATATGTAGATAGAGACACAGACTCATTTTGGTCGGGTTTTACAGATTTTCGGGATTCTCGTAACTTATCAATCAATCATCGATATTTTTATCGATTTTGTTATCGAATTTTTTGATCAAATTTCTTATCGATATTTTGATCGATACTGTTATCCTTATGGTAATTGATATTTTTATCAATATGTAATCAATTTTGTTATCGATAATTTTATCGATTTTATAATTGATATTGTTATCAATTTTGTTAATGATATTTTTATCGATTTTGTTATCGATATTTTTATGGTTTATTTTTTGGATTTGTCGATCGATTCTGTTACCGATATTTTGATCGATATTGTTACCGTTATAGTAATCGATATGTTATCGATTTTTCTATCGACATTTTTGTTGATTATCGATAGAAAAATTGTTGTATTGTTATCGATATTTTTATCAATTTTATAATTGATATTCTTATCGATTTTGTTGACGATATTTTTATCGATTTTGTTATCGATATTTTTTTGGGTTTTGTTATCAATATTTTGATCGATTTTCCTATCGACATTTTTATCGATTTTCTTATCGATTTTGTTGTCGATTTTGCTATCGATATTTTTATCGAATTTGTTATCGATATCTTGGTGGATGTTACTATCGATTTATGTACACATGTACATACATACATACATAGTATCCCATTCGAAAAAGTAGTAATGCGTTACATGCGTGATAAATAATATAACGTATTTCTTATGAGTTCTCGATAATATTACTGCTAACTATGTAATCAGCATTATAATAAATTCAAGAAGTTCCAAAAATTTCATATTAAAACACATTCACTTCTCGATACTGGGTAATGCAAAATTGAATGCGCCACTTTTCTTAGGACATCGCCCTGGGAAAAAAATTAATTTTCGAATATGAAAAGGGTTGTTTTACTGATTACTTTTTCGATTACTATAAATTACATTTTTCCACTGGGATATTGGTGATGAGGCAAACTAGATATATAACCTAAGTTTCCCTTCTCCAGTGTGGCCCAGGCGCACTCCCTCTTTTTCTTTTGACCATCGTTAAAAAATTGTTCGTATTTCAAAATAATAATTTCATATACAAATTTGGAACGGACGTATTTGAGTATACACTGGGGAGGAAAATAGTATAGTCAAATGAAATCTTGTTCAAAAGTATTGTATTTGTAATGGAAATATACCAATTGCTTAAGCATGCACAGGGGTAACAATTGTTTAAGCACATACACACATGCATCTGTATACCGTACATCCCAGCAGTATTTCTCAGCCAGAAAACCGCAAATTTTTCTTATTGAATATTCAGTAGAAATGTAGTTCTAAAACCTGAATAGTCTCAGTCATTTTAGGTTTGCACTGTGAATAAAAAAATGTAAACTTTAACAGTGAAAAAATTTAAAAATAAATTTTTTTTTGTAAATTCTTTTAATTTGTGTAATGGTCCGTTTTTTTTATACAAAAACATCAAGCTCTGAACGAAGAAAATTTATTGATAAATAAAGTTGTAAATAGTCAAATAAAAAAGGCGTAATAATTTATTTTATTATGAAATATGATTAGGAGAGAAAATTACTCATACGCAATGTATGAATAACACATGGCAACACTGATTTTGGTGCGGCAAATGTTAAAGCTGTTTTTGGCTTAGCTTTAGAAAATCTGCCGTACAACATTTTTTTCCATTTTTGTTGGCCTGTGCTATTCATAAAATCCTAAATTTAGATGGAAACATTTTGTAAGTAGTTATTTTTACTTAAGTGTTCATACCTTTATTATCAATCAATTTTCTTCGTTGATAGCTTGATGTTTTTCTAAAAGAGCAAGCTTTTGCACAAATCAAAAGAATTTACACAAAATCTTTTATTTTTATATTTTTCGCCTTTTAAAGTTTGCACTTTTTTTCATTCACAATGCAAAATGAAAAAGAAAATATCAGAAATACAGGGCCGTAATCTACGATCTAAAATTGGGTTTACGTGCTTCGGTGATTTTTGTGTCATTTTAGCGTCCCTACAGTTTAATTAAAAATGCAATTTCAATACTTATTCGCCCAAAAAGTTACCCAAAAAAATTTTAAAATGCACAGAATTTTTTCCGTCATTTGGTATCCATATTGTAATTCTACATTGCACTCAAGGTACATTGAACAGGTAGTATCAGTAGAGCAGCTGATTTGATTTATTTTCAAATTATTTGGTCTCGAAAATGTCAAATATTTTTAATTTTTTCTCACAAAAATTCTGAATTGTTAAAATCCATTTGCATGTGAAACCTTTTCCCATACAAAACAAGCGATTGAATAGCAGCTTTTGGAACGTTCGCCCAACTCAGCAGCACAACCGCTGATTACTGGCTCTTGTAAAGGATGGATCAATGCTTCGAGAAGCAAACAAATTTACTAGGAAAGAAAGTTGCATCAATTTTTATTTTTTCCTATTTCAATTTTTTATTTTTTATAATTTTTTGTATTTCACATGGCACGCTTTGATTTAGAAAAAAAAAATTCAGAACAGTTTTTGACACTTTCGATACCAGAAGCAACAACAAAATACACGCAAATGTTGTTTTTGCTCTACTGATACTACCTGTTTAATGTGCCTTGATTGCACTGCATTTATAAAATGATTTTTTGAATCATAACTCTTAAGTTTCAAAGCCTTTTTTATAAGAATTCCTACGTCAGAGGGGAAACTAAAAACGCAGGTTTTTATAGTTGGCCGCTAGTTTCGTGAAGATTTTTCGTGTATTTTGATATTACACACATATTTGGTTTTTGCTGCAAGGTGTAATATTTCTAACGATCCCTGCTATAGCTTAAATTATGTGGCAAAGAAAGCACTGCCTCAAAAGCTTATACAATGAAGAAATCGTGACAAAAGAAAATTTGAATTAAAAAAAAAAAGTTGCCAAAATTCCGTGTGGTTAATTAACACACTACTATGGAGTAACTATATATTGATAGGCTAGGCACATTTGCGACAGTTTTCTGTGTTAACAGTATCATCAGCATTTTTCGAAAGCATATATACCTAGTTTATGATAAAGTATTTGCAGCCAACAAATTAATAATCTCCGAAGATAGCAAAGCGTTGAAATGGTTATGTAAACTAAAATTGCTGCTCGAATGTATTTTAGTAAGTTTTCAACATTCACTAAGTAAGCAAGCAAACTTCGACATTTATGAGTAGACCTCATTTAAATTTCCAACTTTGATTAATAAAAACCACAAAGGACTACAACAACAATGCCAAAACTTGAAACACTTTTCAATAAATGGCAATTGAATGCAATTCTATTTGCCATTGCCATCAGCGGTGTTGCTTTCGTGCACGGCAAGTTCTACCGGGAATGCATTGGCGCTGAAAAGAGTCAGAAGTTCGTCGCTAGTTTGGACAATTGTGCCAAATATATCTACTGCGATGGCAATAATTCGTTCGAAGGTGAGTGTCTTGATGATAACTATTTCAATGTGAATGTAGGCAAATGCGATGAGCGTTCAGCGGTTGTCTGCAATGTTGGCGTGCAGGTACAGTTGACGGTTGAAGGCAGCCAGAATAGCCAAGGCAGTCAAGAAAGTCTAGGAAGTTCACACAGCGTGGGTGCACTCGATGGTGAGCGTGTAGATGGCAAGAATGTTGCAAGTGTTTTCGATGCCAATGTCAATAGTAACAGTAATATGAATGCCAACAATTTAATGAGCAACAATAACAACTGGCATACGCTTGTTGGTCTTTGGAGCAGTCAGCAACAGCAGCAGCAACAGCAGCAGCAGCAACAACAACAGCAGGCAAAACAGCAACAATTGCAATCGGCGATGCCAAGCGGTGGCGTTATTGGCAGTGAGCCTGTAACGGGCTTAGCGCTAAATGGCATTGATATGGGCAACGCAGCCACCACCGCTATTGCGGCCAATCAGGCACCACAATGTCCGCTACGCTATGGCCTGAACAACGTTATCTATCTAGCCAATGCCGCGTCTTGTACATCGTACTACACCTGCTACAATGGCATTGCCATACCGATGATATGTCCGCGCGGCACCTACTTTAGTGAGGAGACGTCACGTTGCGAGCGGCAGGAAAACGTCTACTGTTCGGTAAATTTTTACGTCAATAAATCTGTGCGATTATTTGTAAAGGAAGTAAACATTTAAAATTTTTTCATTTACAGCTATATCGTCCCGTTCGTTTGATATGCAATCGCGGTGTCTACGATTATATACCGCATTCACGCAATTGTGGCTACTACTATTTCTGCTCCAATGGCTATTTGATGATCTTCCAATGTCCATTTCAGTATTTGTGGCACTATGAGCGACGCACGTGTGTACATAGTTCGCAGGCGAAATGCTTTTCTCGCGCCATTGCGGAGGCGATGCTTAGTTAGTGGAGTGGCGAAGCATTTGAAACTCTGTTTTGCTAGTACC